CAGGACCGGCCCCAAAACTGGGGAACACCACTCTTAGGACCCTCTTTTACATGTTAGGATTATGCACTTACAAAGCTAAAACTTTCGGATCTTTTCCTTGTTTTTGTTAAAAGGCAATTAAGAAGTTTTAAGGTGTTTAGTGTGAGCTATTGAACTATACCCTTAATTAAGGAAATCTTTTTTCAGTGGTTAATTATATTAACCTCTGTGGCTATCTGAATTCAGAAACAATATTATCAAGTCTTATTACTAGTCCCTTCTGTAAGTTTTTCTTACGTCACTAGTTCACTGGTCTTTCATACTGTGCAGGGGAGTGTTGGTTTTCTGTCTTGTTTACTTCTTACTGAAAAAATCCTCTGATTTAATGTTATATTCCTGTCTTAGCCTTTGAGGATCTGGCTATTTTAATAATCGTGCTCAAGACAGCTTGATCTTCTAGTGTGGAAAGATAAATTAGCAGTAAATACAGTTTGCCCCATGTACTTTAAAATCTTCTCTTCCATCTTACAATGAAGCAAAAAGTACATAAACCAATATCCTGTTTGTACATCTTCGATATACACCCATTCTTTACATGAAAAAAAAGTGTATCACGTCAGCTGATTGTGAAAATTATTGAACAGTTTAATATCTTTTTTTAGAAATGCTAAAATATCTTTCATTTGTGAAAGAAAAATGAAATACAGGAAATGTACTGGAGGAAATGATCTTACATGGTTGGCTACATGGCCTAATCTCTGATTTAGAATAGCATGTCACAATTACAGCACTTTGAAGACAGTTTGCTAATTGAGTATAGCTCAATATACTTACTTTTATTTTTTTTAATTTTAATAAGGATAAAACATGGATTTTGGGGGTTTTACATTTTAATGTGCAACTGTGCTCAAAATACCACTTTGTCAATAGATTAAGATGAATATAAGCCAGGGAGAACTTGTATTCTTCCGATACTATTTTATGCGTATATATTTTAACCATTATTCAAAAGTAGCTTGCTGCTTTTTGAGTAGATACTGAAATATTTAGTTAAAATAACTGTTTGTATTCATGTCTGTTCCAGACTCTAGCAAAAGAAAGGTGGTTTAAGGCCTGACTAGAAATTTCATCAAACCATCTTATGCTTTTTGGGTGTACAGTAGCACTCATTGAATCAATTTAGACATTTTTTTCATGGACTTTGAAGAGGATTTAGAAAAGAAATGTCAGGAGGGGCTTTATTTCCTGTCCACTTAAATCAAAAGCTTTTCTCTCATATTTCTGAGAATGCAAATAGACTAAACAGTCAAATTTTTTTGTACTCCTTTTGCATCTTTCAAAGTCTTTGGCTTTAAATCTCACTCTGTTTATAGGTTGTAATGTTTACTCTGCCCACTAACAACACACTGAGTCAAATCACAATCCTAAATACATAAAATCAAGCTGTGGACTGTTCACTCAAGCTCTTGCCTGGAGTATGTAGAGAGCTTCACCTTTCTTTTACTTTACCAGGATCAGTTCTTACAAGAATCATGTTTGTTTAATTCTCATAGTTAATGAATTGTCTTCTCTGATGGAAGATGGACGTTACCAGGTGCTTCTGGCAAAAATTTACAGCAAAATGGAGAAGATTGATGAAGCTATTGTTTCATTACAACAGGTAAAGGGGAAAACAAAAAAACCTGTGAAAGCTTGCAATGTCCTCACTTTTATCCCTGGTTTCACTTTTATCCCAGATTCTAACCATAATATTTTTATCGATGAGGAAAGTGCATATGTAGCAGGGATAAAGCACCAGTGACTGTTGTGAAATGTAAACAACATAAGTGGTTATAAAGTCTAAGCTTTTTGTGAGCAGTATTATCTGAATTTTAGATCAGAATGGAGGCTTTTACTGGAAGCCTTCATTTGTGTGTGGAGCATAGTTTTAACAGAGCAGGTGAAAACAGAATTGGCTGTGGGGACAGCTAGGTTACATATCTTTAGCTCAGCATTGAATACCACTCATAGAACAATCTGGAACAGCTTTCAATGGCTACCTGTCATTTTGTTGTACCGCTGTTTATTTTAAATAACAATAGTAAGATCTGTTCATTCTGGAGTTGAATGTTAATCACACAGACTGAGGCTTGAAAGAACCAAGTTGGAAGCTAGAGATAATTTAATTCATTTAGAAGAAGCTTTCTCAACACAAAGGTTGAGCAAGAGGTTGGGTCAGTACATTCTCTTCCGTTATACCTCCACTCTGTTACAGAAACAGTAAGCATCTTCTGACCAGCAAGAACAGTAAATTATGTAGATTGGTTGGAAAGATAGCTGTGCATAAGAGTTAAAATCCTCCTGATATTGCTATTTAATCTGTTGTTAAATTCTTACTACTTTTTTCCTTATAATGTACTTTTTTCTTTCTCAAAATTGACTTCCCCCCCCCATTCTCCTTTAGTAAATTTTCCCCAAAGCAGTCTACTTCTCTTACTCGTTTCTATACTTCAGTTCTTTCAGGTTTCTTACTGAATCATGGTTCAAAAACTTTGTGTTTGTCTCTTTCCCCTTTTCTTTCGTTGTTGTTTTTGTTACTGCCCTCAAAACTGTCTTTCGTTGTACCTATTGTCTTTGAAATGTTTTCCTGCTCCTTCTCCTTTTGCTGCCATGTTCATTTACACAAAACCACCTGTATTTTGATGATTACAGCAGGACTAACTGCTTAGTCATGTTACTGCCTCTTCTTAAACAGGTTTCTTCCCTTGGTTTTCAGAGTGATGTTAGAAGTTCCCCCAGATTTTACTTTGTTTTAATTCTCCTTCCCTGGTAGGCAAAATGGTAGGGGATGAGAAGAAGCAGAATAATATTAATGCTTCCTTCTCTTCAACTTGTTAACTTTTAAATGAGCGAAGCAGCTGTTCTGAGATTTTATTTCAATGTTAAAGGTAGTTACAAAACTGTTTGAGCAGAGAGAGGGAATGTTTTGTGTGTTAATTGACTAGAATTCCAGTTGAAATCAAAGAAAACTGATCAGGCATAATCAGAATTGGGCATAGCAATCTCCTTATCTGCCCTTTTTTGGGGCATCTGCTATTAACAAAGAGCTCTACCTCTGTGCTTCTGCCAGACTTTTCTTAATCACTCCCTAAATGAAGGACCTCAGAAAATAAAATTTGAAGGATTTTTTTTTTTTCTGTTTCTCCCTGGTTTTCTGTGCTTAATAAAGGAGTTAAGTACATACACCTTCTGGGTTTTGGCCTTTGAGGTCTTGCTTATACACCTTATCAAAAGCTTAATTTTAAGAAAAGAAAAAAAAGGAAGAAGGCATGTAACACTTCTATTGAATATTTTTGATGTAGGAAGTTAGCTTGGAGACTAAGG